GCCCCCTGCGCCACAAGGGGGCTTCGGACAGGCTGTGGCCGTCCTGGGCGCGCCACGCACCCCGGCGGGCGGAAGGCTGACCGCACCCGCATTCGGGGCTCGGAGTGGGTTTGCTGCTCGGGAAGGATAGCTCACCAGCCCTAAAAAGCATTCTGTCCAAATTGTAAAAGGTTAGTTAAAAGTGTTTAATAGGAGCAATGTCGTGCAAGCAGACACCGCTTTCACGTGGAGGATCAATCACAGCCGCGTACCACGGGAGGGACGCCCCTGGGCGCTCGGGCCAGACGGGCCGCCTCCCCTGCCGCTCGCACGGCGAGGCCAGACGGCACACCGGCCTGTCAAGGCCGCTCCTGCAGTGGCAGCCTCCACACAGGCCCCGAGGCAGTTAACTGCTCCTTCGCCCGTTGGGGTGCCCGGGCCGGCTCCGCCACCTCCCTAACACAGGTGAAGGACCGCTTTGTTGATCTCTGGGTTTGTCCACTCATTGCGAATGTCATCCAGGTGGTTATCGAAGTCCACGAGGGTCTCGTAGGACCGGCTGTCCAGGAGTGACGCCAAGATCCTCTGGGCCTCTGGCCAGTCTTCACAGTAGTCACTACAGCAAAACAGGAGAGACGAGCCTGAACGACCCCACGGGAGGCTCTGTCACAGCGCGGAGCAGGCACACACGCCGTGGTGTGCCGACAAGGCAGACGAGGGGCGCAGCTCCAGAGCCGGCCCCAGGAGTGACGAGCGCGGTTAGAGGACGCGCCCCGAGACCGACAGGCTGGAGGTGGGCCTCAGGCCTCGGCGTGGTCGCAGATAACCACACACCTGAGAGGGGGTTCAGCTTGGGGAAGGGGCTTGGGGCCAATGGGCCGCAGTCTTCAGAGCCGAGGGACACGCGTGGGTTTCAAATGTCTCCCTGGAGCGCGTGCGGGCCGAAAGCACGGTCAGGAAGCCCTCCTGTGGGGGGCGGCCGGCCGCCGGCGCACACGCGTCCCGGGCACGCGGCACTCACTAGTGTGGGTCTCTGCACCGCCACTTGTTTTCATGGTGCTCGTACACGTGGATGGTGGGCACCACGCAGTCCATCGTGAACTTGGTGTTGTCCACCTGTGCACAGACAAAGGCGTGTGTGAGCGGCACTCTGGCGTGGCCGGCACCCTCTGGAAGTCCTCTGGCGCCTCCTCGGGGCCCAGCAGGGGCTGCACTGTCGTGGCGCGAGGCACAGAGGGGTGCTCCCACCCCCGTGAGGCTGTCTGCGCTGCCCCTCTGCCGCCCCCAGGCTGGCCCGCTGCTCCGGCCCAGGGCGTCTCACTCCTGGGCACCCTCAGCATCATCATGAAAACACAAATGGGGCCACCGCGTGCCGGCGTGGGGCACCCACTTAGAAAACGTGGACTCGAATGTCCACTCCTGGCGCTCCTGGCCTGCTGCGGGGCACCCCGAGACCACAGCTTCAGGCCCACGGGCGGAGGACACAAAAGGTGGCGGGGGCTGGGCTGCCGCGGCAGCACGCTCGTGGGCCCAGGGAGTCCAGGCACTTACCATGATGAGCGCCGTGTCGCTGAAGCCCTCGGCGATTCTGGAGGCCACCTTCTCTGCAACCTGGTTTGGGCTGCAGGAGGAGCGGCGGGTCATCAAAGGCTAGTCAGCGCCACTCAGGTCACTTCCCTGAGCACGGCCGGCGCCCCCGAGCGAGCGAGCAGCGGCGGGAAGCCAGAGCCAGCACACTGAGCTGCCTGTCTGGGTTACCGCTGCCCTGGGCGACTGCCCATGCTCAAGGCGCGGGGCTGGGCAGGTCCTCGCCCCTTCCATCCCGGGAGCCCCTGTGGGGGTTCGCGGGAAGCACCTCTGCACAGACGGCTCTCAGCACCCGGGTGCGGCTGCCACCCACAGCGGGGCCATCGAGCTCCAGGTGCCTGCCAGGCTCACGGGCTCCGCTGGCCGCCGAGGGGTGGGGTCCGCCACCGCCCTTCCTTCTGTTGGCCCTCAGTGCCAGAGCTAGTCCAGGGCTTCCCTGTGACCAGCCGTCAACGGCTGGGTCTGGCCCCGGCCCGGCCCCGGGCCCACCCGCAGAAATGACAACTCTCCATGCCAGCCAGTGAAGCCAGCCGTAGGGTGGTGCCCACGTCACCCTGCCCGACTGCAACAAGCAGAAAGGTATTTTTCTACCCTCGAGCATTCTCTTTAGGCTTTAGGGCCTTATTTAGACTCTCTCCCCACATGGCCCAGCTTCGCTGTCAGATCTGAGTAAATCTCTTCCTTCTTAGGGAAAGACAAGAATCTAACCAGTTCTCCTGTTCCTCTGGCCAGTGCCAACCTGCCACCCCCCACCCCCACCCCGCGTACCTTACCAGTGCTCCTGAGATGGCGAGGGCGCCCCCTTGAGCCACTTCTTCAAGCTGCGCACGGCTGTGGGTTCTCTGGCCTCCTGATACCCCTCCCGGTCACCCCCTGCTTCTCTCTCTCTGGCCCCGGCCCTCAGCAGGCTGCAGGCTGGCTCCAGCCCCCGGCCGCCCCTCCACTCTCCCTGAAGCCACTCTCGGCAGCAGCCCTGGCGTGGGCCTCTCCATGGTTTCCTAGCTTGTCTCAGTTTCTGGGCTCCACTTACCCACCCAATGCATCCTGAAAACGTCCTTTCATCAATCTGCTAAAACGGTCACGTCCCGCCCTCCCAGCACTGCCGTGGTGGGAAAGGTCAGGCCCTGCGTGCCTCTGGCCCCAAACTGCACGTGTCATCTCCCCGCTCGCTCACTCTCTTGCGGGCCCACCAGGCCCCGCGTCTTCACCCCTTTCTGGCTGTCTCTACAGGCCCGGGGGAGGTGCCAGTGAGGCCCCAGCTTGGGGAGACTACAGCACGTTCCAGAGGTGCGCGCTGCCTGTTTGTCTGCGTCTTTGAGACCCCACAAACACCCAGGCTTCGCCGAGCCTCTGCACGCTGTCGGGCCAAGACTGGCAGGAACGCAGCGGAGGCCGCAGCGCGCTCGCCCGAGGCCCACGGGGCGCCGGGTAAAGGGAGCCCGGGCACCGAGGGAGGCTGCGAACACCAGGCTGTCATCAGGGCGCTGACCTGGAGGAGGCTGCTTTACTGACCCCCAGGGAGCAGCCTTCTTCCCCAAGGCTCTGCCTACGTCATACCTGGTGGGGGTGGGAAGTGACGGAGGGTTTTGTGGGGACAGAATCCAAAGCCCCAACTGTTTCGTTCACTGTATGAGTTTCCTTCAAGCAAAAGAAAAGTCTACCAGCCAGAACCCCCAGGTTCTGCACATGCTTGGGATTTCTGTTGTTTGGAATTAGCCGCTCTCCCTCCTCTCAAATACTAGAACCAGCACGGGGAGAGGCTCTGAGCCTACGGGAGGTCAAAGGCCCCAGGGAGCGTGTGCCACACGGCCCCCTGAGCCCAGAGGTGTGGCGTGGGCATACCTGGCATCCTTCACTCGCTCATTAGCTTGGTAATAACCAGCAACCACGTAGCTGTTGTCTTTGCACCACGAGTCAATCTGAAAGAGAACAAAAACGGGGACAAGACGTGTGATTTTCTCTGAAGTCTCAAGCGCGCCAGACGCAGGAGACCCCTGGCGCTGACGCTGGGCCGGGACCCTGCTCAGCCTGTGCACCCGTCCCCGAAAGCGCAGGCCACGAGAGTGCAACAGGGCCGCACCTTGCTCTCACGGTCCCCACGAGACGCAGAGCCTCTCCCTCGGCGGGGCGGGGTGTCCTCTGAGGGGGCATCTCCCTCGCCCGCCGGAGGGAAGCGAGGCACCCGCAGCCCCCACAGCGCAGCGCCCGGCACTGAGGCAGGGCGCGGGGCCCTGCGGAGCCCAGG